TGGTCCCTCTCTCCTCACAGACCCCCGGGAGGGGGTGTCGGTTCCTCTTCCCTCACGGACACGGAGAGAATAGAGAGGAGGTTGGTCCCTCTGTCCTCACGGACTCTGGAGGAGGGGAAAGGGGGTGTGAGTCCCTCTTCTCTCACAGAGCCAGAGGTGGGGGATCTCGGCGTCCTTCTCCCCTCACAGACACCGAGAGGGTCTCAGTGTCCCTCTGCCCTCACAGACACCGAGGGTGGCGGGCTCGGTGGCCCTCTGCCCTCACAGACACCGAGGGTGGCGGGCTCGGTGGCCCTCTGCCCTCACAGACACCGAGGGTGGCGGGCTCGGTGGCCCTCTGCCCCCACAGACCCAGGGAGTGGGCTGGGGGTCTCGGTGTCCCTCTCCCCTCACGGACCCCGCGGGGGTCTCGGCGTCCCTCTCCTCTCCCGCCGCCCCGGGCCGTGCCCCGGCGGGTGCCCTCACCGGGTTCCTCATGAGGCGCTCGAGGCGGAGGCGCTGCTCCTCGGCCGCGCTCCTGGGGATGACGAGCGGCTGCGGCTCCTTGCGGGGCCGGGGCGGCCGCGGGGCCGAGGGCGCCGCCATGTTCCGGCCCTGGCCGCGCCCCGCCCCCCCGTGACGTCACGGCGCGCGACGCGGGCGGCCCCGTCATGGCGGGTGCGGTGAGCGCCGGGCAGAGGTGGGAGTTGCGTGAGGGACCCTCGTGTGAGGGAGCCACGGAATGGGGTCCGTGAGGGGAGAGGGACACCGAGGAAACACCTCTGGGGTCATCTAACCTAAATTCTGCCCTGTCACCACCCTGTCAACCAGAGTACTGAATGCTACAAGTCGTTTGTTGAACACCTCCACGGATGATGAGTCCACCACCTCACTGGGCAGCCTGTGCCAATATCTAGTCACCCTTTCTGTGAAGAAATTCCCCCTCGTGATGTCCGTACCCTGCAGCCTGGACGGAGGCTGAAGGCAGAGTGACCAAACTGTATAGTTGGAAGCGCCCTCTGTAGGTGTCACAGCCCAAACCCCCTGGCAAGGCAGGGCCACCCGGAGCCGGTGACACAGGAATGTGTCCAGGTGGGTTTGGAATATCTCCAGACAGGGAGACTCCACCGCCTCCCTGGGCAGCTTGTCCCAGTGCTCTCCTACCCTCAATGGGATTCTCTGAAGGCACAGACTCACAGAATGATGGTTCAGGTTGGAAATGACCACTGGGGTCACCCAGCCCATCCTCCTGGTCTGGCACAGTCCCCTGAGCGTGGCACTCAGGGCTGTGTCCAGAGGGCTTTTGGGGGACACCCCACACCCTGTCTGTGCAGCCTGTGCCAATGCTTGATCACCCACACAGTGAAGAAGTTCTTCCTCGTAGAAACACAGGATGGTTTGGGCTGGAAGGGACCTTAAAGATCTTCCTATTCCAACCCCCTGATGTGGGCAGGAATGCCACCCACTAGACCAGGCTGCTCAGAGCTCTGTCCTACCTGGCCTTGGACATTTCCAGGGATGCAGAAGTCAAAGATTTTCTGGGCTATCTGTGCCAGAGTGACACCACCTTCAGAGCAAAAAATTTAATCCTAATATCTCATCTAAACCCACTCTTTCAGTTTGAAGCAGTTCCCCCATTTGTCACTACAAATTTGTGTTTAAAGTCCTTCTGCATCTTTCTGTCCATTTGGGTACTGAAAGGCCACAATTAGGTCACCCTGAAGCCTTCTCTTTTCCAGGCTGAACAATCCCAGTTCTCTCAGCCTTTCCTTGCAGGAGAGGTGCTCCACCCTGCAATCACCTGGTTTATCTTCCCTGGGCTCACTCCAACAGGCCCCTGTCTCGTTTTTGGGTGGAATTGCCCATCCTCTCATGCCATGGCTCAGCCCCGCTGAGGAGGGGCTGGCTCCAACCTCTGACACCCTCCCTCAGACACTCAAAAACTCAGACACAGCTTGTTCCCTGCGTCACTCCTCCCGTGCCCCAGCTGTGGCCGTGCATCCTGCTCCTGCCCAAGCTGTGTTTGCTGGGCTCCGATGTCCCCTGTCCCCTCACACGCGTTCTCAGGGCTGCAGTCTGTCCCCAGCAGGCCGCATTAGCAAGGCAGCTCCGGCATCTGCCGCGCTCTGTCCGGCAGAGCCTGAGCAGGATGAAAATTCAGTGTGTTTTTCACTGGCACCCTCAGCCCTGCCAAATCCCTTCCCCGTGAGGGTGTAAGCGATACAGCACTTCCTGGTGCCCCCGTGGCAGGCTGCCTGCGCCATCTGTCCGTGTCACTTTGGTCATTAACCAGCGCGGCCCGCGGGCTTTGTCTGCTGACAGTGATGAACGGCAGCACCGCTCCCCACAGCACCGTGTGGGCAGGTAGCGGGGGGGACGCTGTGCTGTTTGCATCCACATTCACACCTGGGGTTTGCAGGAACAGCGCTTGCATGAGCTGAGGGCTGCTACACCCAAATCCACGCTTGCCTGACAGAGCTGGAGGAAGCCATGGCGGGGAAGAGGAGCCAGAGCTGGCTGCAGTACAGGCCTCCACTGCAAGCCAAATTTTGTTTCAAGTCGCTGTGGCCCTACAGAAATGGCATGGCATGTGCTGGGGCTGTGTGTGCGTCACAGAATTAGCCAGCAAAGGTCAGCTGCAATGGAAGAGGGGCATAAGCCTTTGTGCAGTTTATGGAGATAAGCCAGAGCCGGGAAGTTGGGCTCTGGGTTTCAGACAGCTTCGTGCTGTGCATGTGGAGAGGGTGACAGAAAGGGGAACAGAGAGGTTGGGAATGGCTCCTTCTGAGATTTATAGTTCATTTGTATGGCCTGAATTTATTAAGCCTCCATTCTCTTCCCCTTTCTGTGGAGAAAATCGGAGCTGATCCTCAGGTTCAGCCCTATGTTTACAAAAGACTTTTCAACCTCCGCTGAGGTTGCTATGGAAATCACACTAGTTTGTGTCTCGTGTTTTTCTTACCAACCTGATTTGTAAAAGAATGGTGTGAATTTAGTGCTGGCTGAGTTCCCAGCTGGCCGCTGGTCCTGGAAGGCATCCTTGCAGTCTCAGCCCTGGCTGGAGCAATGCAAACAGCTTCCTCCACGCTGTCTGCCAGCTCCCGGCTCCTGCTTGCGGCTCTCCCAGCCTTGGGTCGTCTTCAGCACACCAGGACAGAATCTTCCAGTGCCAGGCTGGACTCAGCCCTGCCAGGGAGACACCAGCTCTGTTGCAGAGACCACGGCAGGTCCCCTGTCCCCTCTCGGTCACCACAGACTGTTTTACAAAGCAGAATTGCTGCAAACCGATTGAGTTTCCTCTGCTGAGTCCTAAACACAACTAATCCCTAATGTTTCACCCTGTTCTTCCTCACAGCCACTTCTGCAAACACACAGCTTCCCACAGCAGGGCTGTGAATGATGAGCTGCCAGGACTTGGCCCTCCCGTGCCAGTCCCCATGGGAGGAAGGCAGAATGGCAGCCTGAGGACTGCAGGGAGCAGCTGGACCCACTTGCCCAGAACATGGCTTGTTCCAGCCATAGCTCACAGCCCCAGGAAACAAACAGGCAGCTGCCTGTCATCAGGCAGAGCCCTTGCAAACTGTGGGGCAAGAGACCTACGAACATCTCACTCTCAAACTCTCAAAGGGAGTTGATGCAGACTCTTGATGTATTCTGCATTATTTACTTTTAAAAAATAAAAAGTATTTTTTTATAAATACTTTAAAAAATCTGGGGAAAAGGGCAAGACAGTTACTTAGGTAATACAAAAATAGAAAGTATTTCATCAAAATACAAAGCCCACAGAATCAATCAGAGTGCTGGGCTGGGATCTGGGCAGGACTGGGGTCAGCGGATTTGCATTAGAACAGGGTAGTGTTTTCATAGGTCAGTTCGAACAAAACTCGGCTCCCTGATCTTTATCAAAGAAGCTCATTTGTGTTTCTGAGGAATTCTCTTTCCAAAGGGATCCTTCTGGAAGCACTGCAATCCTTTGCTGAGACAGAACCTGCACGTCAGGCGGGAGCAGCCGTGGAGCTCCAACACCCACATGAAACGTGGGCAGCTGCGCCGCTGAAATCCCTTTGCGTTTTTGTCCTGCTCATGGTATGTGCCAGGGCACGGCTCGGCACCAGCATCCCAGCCCTTCTCCAGCCCTGGGCAGAGGGCATTGCTGGCATGGAATCCAGCCCACACGCTGAGGCTGCTTTCCCCTTGTATCGCCATCAAATCTCTGCATTCGATGCTGTTTTTTCCTGCCCCTGCCCTTCCAGACCCTGTGAAAGGAAAGGGATGTTTTCCAGCAAGCCTGATGCTGTAATTAGTCAATTTGCTAATAAGCTGAGGTGTGAATGGCTTTCTGCGAGGCAGGAGGAGCAGCTGTCCCGCAGGCACAGCCCTCAGTGTCACCTCCCCAGCTGCCCAGCTCCTGATGGATGAGCTCTCCAGGAGCGGTGAAAAGGCTCTGGTGACTTTTGGGGAGGGAATGTTTTTGTGAATGGATCATGACACAACCATGGCCTGATTACCGAGCTGAGCAGCTCCCTCCACCCCCCCAAAAGCCATGTGTTAGCTGCGTCTGTCACTGCTTAGCTGTCACAGTACAGTCTGGGACAATGCTCCAGTTTTCCCAGGGGATTCTCAGCAGAAAAGAGCACACTAGAAAGACATACAACGTCAGAGCATGAGGCACAGTCTCCCAGGAGAGATGAAGGCAGGAGGGGGAATGACAGGCCATGGGGAGCTGCTGGGAGATGCTAGCACAGGCCTTTAGCCCAGGGCTGCTCATTCTCAATTATCCTGCTGCTCGGGGGATGGACCACTCTGACTTGCACTACTGACTAACCAGACAAAGTAAATAACAGACTGGAAGGAGAGGAAACCCTGTCCTCTACAGCCTGGACCCACCCTCCTCCTCCCTCTGCTCTCCCTTCCTCCTCTTCTCAGTGCACTCCAGCAGGCAGAGACAGACCCAGCCTGGCCCCAACTGCCCAGAGACAGCAACGAGGTCTGCACACATGAGACATGACAGCATCTTCCCTCTGTTTTTCTTTTTTTTTTTTTGGTAGCAAATCCAGCAAAGCCCAAAGCTCTTGCTCACATGCTGTTGTTTTTGCAAGTGATTTTATTTTAAAACCGGAACTCGAGTTCTCCATTTGTTTAACAAGTCCCCCCCCCTTTCTTTTTTTAAATAAAATTAATTTATTCTACACAACAGTAAACTCTTCCAGACTCTTCCCTATTTACAAATTAACATTTTTTGCTTGCAGATCATCGCTTCCCCCTCATTTTCCTATCCTGTGACACAGAAAGTGAGAAACAAAGCCAAAATCTGAAGGTCTGTAAGGCAGTGCTCCCATCCAGCCTTCTGGATCCCACCCTTGGGGCTGGGAAGAACCAGAGTGACAATGTCTGTGTCAGATCTGGAGATCTCCCCTCATCCACCATGTGTGTTAAACCCATCAACCAAGGGCATCCAGCCTCTCCCTGCTCCTCTGAGCTGTGTTTTAGCTGGGCTGAGGAAGGAGAAACACCCTCAACAGAACAAACTGCTCCTGCTGCCCTCTGAAGGGATGTATGTTTGGGGAGAAGATGGCATTTGCTGCAGGAATGGGATGCACCAGGCACCTCACACATCCATGGGCCAGAAAGGCAGCTCTCACATCACAGGAGGAGGCAAGGAGCCTTGGAGACACCTCCCCTCTCCTCTTGTGTGTCAAGCACTGGGGATGTGCTTTGCTCGCTCAGGAAAGAAGGCACCTAATAAATAAAAACTTGGCCCAACCCAATTCCAGGCAAATCCAAGGTTTTTTTTTGAGGTTGTGGCTTGGCTTGTACCTCTTTGAACTAAGTGATAACTTCTAGCAGCTGGTAGGGTCTGCTCCACCTGGAGACCTGTCCAGACACTCCAAAGCCACCTGGCTCATGTCCTGTGAGCACTGTCACTCCTGTCACTGCCACATGAGCAGCAGGTGTGCTGGTGCTGGGTAACACAAGCTGTGTCAGCCAAAACAAGGGGGATGTGCAAACACTTTGTCTGCAAGCAAAGCTGCCCTTCTGGAGGGTCTCCCACCCCACATGAGGCACAAACCCTGGCCAGTAAAACCATCCTCAGGGCTCCCATGACCTGTTGGAAAAGAATCAATGTAGTGTTTTTACTCCTGGGAGATCAGCCAAGCAGGAATACCTGCTTTTACCTGCAAAACAAAGCTCTCCCTCACCTCTGGACACAGCTCCTGGCCTCTGCCTGATGCCCCAGATATCCCAAATGACCAAAAACTGATGTAAAGAGGAGGTGGTGTCATATTTTCCAAGGTTTGCCTTGAGCAATGGAAAATGTTGCCCAGTTGTGGCAGAGAGCAGGCAGAAGGCTGATGCCCTTGTGGAGAGCTTAGGTTTTGAAAAATCAAGGAAGGGAGGATGAAAGGGTTATCCAGGGATTCTGTTAGTACAGCAAGGAGAGAAAGGAAACAAAGGAACAGAAAAGGCAGAACAGCAGGAAAACCCTTCCTTGAATGCAATTCATTAAGCTTTGGACAAAAATCTTCTTCTGTCAGAGGGTAGGAAACATGTGCCCCAGAGGGAGCTCAGAAGCCAGACCAGATAAACCCTCAGGCCTCTGCAGCAGCGCCCTCAGTGCTCCATGTGTGTGAGAAGAGTTTCTGCATGGACATCTGACACATTTCCATGCTCATCCCAAAACGCCAGAGTCCCTCAGCAGCTGGTTGGCAGGGCGATGGTGCCAGAAGGATGTTGGCCATGCTGGGCTCTCGCCCCAGAGGAGACATGCCAAGGTGCTTTGGCTGGAGGATGGAGCCTGTCACAGCTTCGGGCACCATCCCACAATGGTCACACCCAGGAGGAGATGCAGGGAGCCCAGCTCAGCCCTGGGAAAGCTCTTGGTCCGGAGGGAAGGAGAAGAGGCTACAAGCTCTCAAATGGCACTGACTCTTTCAGCCTCCCACACCTCCAGCACTGCCCCAACCCCGGGGCTGGCACCAGGTCCAGCCGGGACATTGCCCACCGCTGACACAGCTCCCAAAAGCAGCAGGGAGCGAGGAGGACCTCCCGGCTGGGTCGCTGGTGGTGGCAGGAGGAGGTGGCGAGGCCGGTGCAGCGGTGAGGGGCACAGCTGCCCGCTGTCCCCAGCCAGCAGCCCCAGCCCGAGGGGCTCAGTAGAAGGAGTACTGGTTTTCCACGGCCCGGGTGCGGCTCCGGGCGCTGTCAGCCTCGTGGTAGTCCTCGGCACTGGCCGCAGGAGGCTCCGGCCGGCGCTCGGCGCTGTCGCTGCGGCTCCGGGGGCCCAGGGCACCCTCCAGGCGGTGGTAGGGTGCGGGGACAGGGACAGTGGGGGCCACGGCCACCCCCTCAGCGGGTGGCGGCACCGGCGGTCCCGAGGGTGCTGTGCTGCAGAAGTAGTGTGGAGGTGGCAGGTCGACCCGGCAGCCCGGGGGCTGTGACACGAGGGGTGGCGGGGGGCCGGTGTCTGCAAGGGAAAAAGGAGCTTGACCCCTCCTGTGCTGCCTGCGGCACCCTCCTCCCTCTCTGCTACTTCCCCACACCCCCTCTCCATCCCTGACTCTGTTCTCCAACCCTCCTTCCCGCTCTCTCCCAGCACAGCAGGATGCTCCGAGCCTGCAGACCTGTCTGCTCCTCTCCTGCCCCAGCCAGGGCACTGACACCCACAGCCAGGGACAGGGGTCCCACCAACACAGCCCCGCTGCTGCGTGGGCCACAGTGCCCGCCTCCAGTGGGTGACACCCACCCTGGCACACCTCCAGAGCCACACACATCAGCAGGGCACTGCTTTAGGGAGGGAATCCCATGGATCTGTCCCTTTTAGGGACAAGATCCCAGCCCTCCCTGCCCAGCCCTGGCACCTACCAGGCTGCGGGCTCTGGGCCACCACGTAGCTGCGGAGGGTGATGTCGGCCGCGCCGCCCGACTCCAGCGGGATGGGGTGTGTGTGGAAGTGGCGCAGCATGTCAAAGATGGTCTGGAACCAGAGGTGCTGCACGTGGCACTGCCCGCTCTCGTTCAGCGACAGGCGCAGGTGCTGCAAGGGCAGGGGGCAAGGGGTGAGCTGGGGGTCGTGAGGGTGAGACTCACCCTTCAATCTGCAGGAGTCACCTCCATCAGCCAAGGAAGGTTTGCTCCTAACAGGATTGTTGTGTTTACCCTGCTGCAGGGTGTTTCCTGTAAAACCTCACTTGCTGCAGCCTCAGGAGCAGTTTGACCCCTGCTGGGGATGAACACTATAAAGAAACACTCAGAGAAGGGTGTCTGGGTATAAACCAGGGGCAGCTGAAGCTCTGATTCTGGGGTCACAGACAGCCTGGGAAAGCCTCTAGCCCACCTGAACTACTACTTGCAAGGTGACAAGAACAGGCAATCTCTGCTAGAAAAGGGACCCAGCAAAAAACTGCTTGTAGTTGGTTTTTCATAGTGCATCTGTGTATTTCAGGACACAGAACAGACAAGAAGAGGGCAGGGGAAGGTGTGCCAGGCTACACTGAGGCCCCATGGGTATTCATCCATATGCTCACGTGACAGGCACTGATCCAGCTGGGAAAGTGTAGAAGGGGCTGGGCAGGATGCAGAGGAGTCTTGGGGCACAAGGGCAGGTGGTCCTGAGGGATGCCCTGCTGGGGTGCAGCTCCCTGCAGAGCTGCTGCCTTTGGGGTCACCCACAGAGCAAGAAGGAACCTGAGGTGCTGGGCAGGGCTGACACTAACATTCACAGAGAAGCAGAGGACAAGGAGAAGCAGAGGACACCCACCTTGGCTTTGCCCTGGAAGTTGAAGGTCAGCACGTACTCCCCCGGCCGTGTCTCGCTCTGCCGGATGACGAACAAGCCGTGGCTGCGGGCGCCCCCGAACAGCACCAGCTGGGCTGCCTTGATCCGTGACAGAGTCCCGTGGAACCAGGGGAAGTCAGACAGGTTGATCTCAGCCTCGGCCTCGCTGTCCTCCCCTGCCCGCAGGGACAGCAGGTTTTTAGGGATCACCCCCTCTCCTCCCGCCCCCTCCTCCTCTCCCGCTGTGCACCCTCCCGAGTGAGATGCTGGGGCTGCATCCTGCATCCCAGTACCTGTGAGGTGCCCACCAGCAGTGGGGGAGGATTCCAGCGTCTGCAGGAAGCTTTCCAGTGGGACGTGGGTGAGGAGCTCCCCCAGGGAGTCCCTGCCGCGGCCGTGGGGCACGGGGACAGAGGTGGCCATGGCAGCATTGTGAGTGCTGGGCAGGGCACATCTCTCTGGTGGCCTGGGTACCTCTGGAAGGGAGATTGCAGAGGGATGAGTGCATGGCTCAGCATCACCCACCATCACTGGGCAAAGATGGGTGCTGTCCTGCTCTGCAGGCAACTCCTGGATCTTAGAGGCACCTGAGGGCTAGGTCATGGCGCTGAGGGAGTCCCAGACTTTCCCAGATGTAGTTCCTTACCGTCATTCAGGAACTCGCAGCTGGATGAGGTTGTCCTGCCTGGCAGACAGGGACCCTGTGCACAGGACACCAGCTCAATGTCGTCCCCACTGTCCCTGGAGGAGAGGACAGACAGAGACACACACATGTGGCACCTCCACTCACTGGCATAGAATGGGGATTTGGCCAAACAAAATTCCAGTGTGATCCAAGAGCACATCCTATTGCCCCTGAATTCCTCCCAAGGGATTGCCACTGCACCAACTGCATTGAGAGGCAGAGCAGCCACCAAACATGATTTCTGGGGGTGAGAAACCAGCGTGGGAAGGACTAAGCCCTTGAAAGCCCACACTGCATGGGTCATGCTGGTCGGTTCCAGCTGCAGGATTTTGTGGGTTTGGAAGGAAAGCTGTTACCTTGACTCTCAGTGCTTTGCACCCACACACCTTCCCACCCGAGGGCGCTTTCACTTTCACCCTCTGCAATGGGAATTACCCACCCACGGGAATTACATCCCTAAAAGACATAAAACACTAAGTCAGGAGGCCTGGAGCAAGACAGCAAGTGGGAATAGAGCCAGGGAGCCACTCAGAGCATCCCTGTTGCCAGCCCTCCCCGTGCACTCCAGCACCCTTCTTGCACAAGCATCCGACTTGCTCCACATCCTATTTTTATCCCAGCCACCAGCAAGAGTCCGGAGCTGCCCACAGCACTCAGCTGCTCTTGCTTCACATGGGCCACGTGGGCACAAGCAGCGGGGAAGCTGCTGAATTATTTAGTGGCCAGTGAGTGAATCAGCCATTGGGAGTCATTCAGCTGCAGCCAGTTAAAAACAAGGGAGGAAGGAAACCAAAACCGACAGCGCTCTGCAGAAAAGCCGTGGCTGGGCGCTCCCGCGGCGGCTCCAGCACGCAGCCCTTGGCAGAAGCATCGGGAGCTGATTGAGAATTCGCTCTTGGCGCCGAGCGTGTGTGTCGGTGTATTAAACAGCTCATTATTATTTGCTCTGGAGTTCATTATTATTTGCTTTACAGTCACGTCCGGAGGCCAGAGCGGCCGGCGCTGGGCGCTAAGCAAACAGAAAGGGCTGGGAGGCTGCCAGGGGCACAGCGGGGGCTGCTGGTGCCTCGAGGGGAGCACGGCCGTGGTGCTCTGCTCCAGCTGGAAAACCAGCACTGAAACATGGAGCGAGGGAAAAAAGGCCTTTTCCCAGCCTCACATCAGCAGCCCAGCCTCAGCAGTGCTTCCTGAGTAAGAGAATCACTGAACAGGTTGGGTCAGAAGGGAATTTAAAGCTCATCTCATTCCACCCCAACCATAGGCAGGGATACCTTCCACTAGCCCAGGTTGCTCCAGGACCTGTCCAGCCTGGTCTTGGACACTTCCAGGGATGGGGCAGCCAGAGCTGCTCTGGGCAATCCATGCCAATGAATTACAGATTTCAGAAAACAGCAAAAGGAGCAAAGATCTGGAGCGCACCAGTGCATCCTCTCTGTGAGATGCAGCCTCCATGGTGACCAAATGCCTCCCCCTAGCAGGAGGGGCAAAGGCAGCCTGGAGGGAGCAGGAGCCTTTCCAAGCCTCTGTTCCAGGTTTGTGTGATGTTTTCACTGCTACAAGCATGGGCACCTGGATGTTCCAAAACTGTGCCAAGAAAGGCAGTGCCAGGGTTTCCCCAAGGCTGGGCCTGCCTGAGCCAGCTGAAGGGCAGCAGTACCAGGCACACAAACCTCCCTAACACAACTTGCTGCTTGTGCTGATGAAACAGCAGATAAGAAGTTTTGGCTGAGTTATGACTCCAATGATAACACTGATGCCATTGTGATAGAAATACAAATAAATCAATTCAACCAGCAGAATCTTAAATATGTCACAGATGCTAAGTGGGAAAAAAAACCATGGAAAATGGCTCAAATATGGTATAAAAGCTTCAGAAGGTGGGTGTTAGGACCTTCCTGCTTTGAGGCTGTGTTCCCAGGTCACCTGCCTCTGCTAGACTGAGGTACATGGGGCAGCGAAGGGTGAACAAATGGCCAGTGCTCCGCACCCCTGGCAGACACAGGCTGCTAACTCTGCCTCCAGACCTCTGCTGGTGTGAGCTGTGCACTTCCTGTGACAACCCAAGCAGCAAAAATTACATCTGGGTAACAGCCTGTGCTCAGGCACCACAGCTCAGCCCCACAGAGCCCCTTCCCCAGCAATCCTTACCCAGGGTCGATGCAATCCTGGATATCAGCCACCCACGAGTGCTTCTGCAGGGAGTCGATGGTCTCCAGGATGTACTCGGCCCCATTCTCCACCTGCAGGCCATGTGGGATGGAGTCAGCTGTGCCAGGGTGCTGCCCCTCACCCCGAGGCAAAACACACCCCACAACCCAGCCAGACCCCCTGAACAGCACCTCAGCTGAGAGGAGAGGGTCAGTGTCCCACCCCACCCCAGCACAGGGGTGCCAAAAGGTGACCAGAAAGATGCATCCAAGATGACCCCTGGCCACATCTGGAGCTCAGAGGAAAACCCCACCACACTACTATCAGCAAATACAAGTTTTTTACAAGGTTTTTACAACCTCCATGGAAAAAACACAGCTGGCTGGCAGCATCAGGGTACATGGCATTATGCCCAAACACAGACAGCATCCCTCACTCCTGGGGCACCTCTGTGTCCCCCCAAAACTAGCTCTGCACAGCTACAGCAGAAGCCACACTGCTCTCTGCCCCAAAACCCTGCCAGACCCCAGGAATTTTAAACCTCTCCATTATTTTTCCTGCCTGCTGGTCCATGAGGCTTCTGATTGCAACAGAGTGGGAGAGAAACACCCTTTCACAGGAAAAAAATAATAAATAAAAATTAGACACAAATGAGCCTCCAAATTGTCCAGCTCAAGGGAGCTGTGCCTTTCTGGGGCCAGGCAGAACCAGAAGCTCCACATCAGTGGACTCAGATGCCATGGGATGCTGTGTGCCTCTGGCAGGTTTCCCTGCATCCCTCATGGAGCCTTAAACATCATGTTCCCGAGGTGGCAGAGCAGCCCTGATTCCGGGAGGGTGTCACATTGCCAGCTGAGACAACCTCCAAGCAAATTCAATTAATCACAAACAACTGAATCACTGTCCTGAAAATAAGCAGGGAGGGCAGGAGCAGAGCTCTGGCTGGGGCTGAGCAGTGACCTGGACCCTGTCCTGAGCAGAGGTGGAGGGGAGTAGCAAAGATCCCCCTCCCCAGTTTGTTTAACTTAAGAAAGGATATTCTCTGGCTTTTTGAGGGCAAGGCATGAAGCTGACGTGAGAGATGGGGCTGCTCACTCATGCAGAGCGTGACAGCAAGCAAAGCACGTGCAGGGCTTGGGTATTTTGCAAGCACCTGCTTGTGCAATGGAAAAAACTGCATGTGCTTGGTGTCTGATGGGCTCTGGGGACACGCTGGCTGCTCATTTTTAGGCAATCTGGCAGGAACTATTTCAGTGTGGCCTCCCCAAACAAGGCAGGGGCTTTTCCACCCATAGTAACATCCCTAACTGGGGCAGGGGCTTTTCCACTCATCATAACCCGTGTGTTGTGTGTGAAGGTGGAGACTGGGCTCCCCATCACACAGAAAGGGAAACCACAGCACCCAGCCTGCCCACCTACCTGCCCCCCAGCACTGAGGGTGCTTCAGACCCTCTACAAGTCCAGCCAGCAAAAGGGGGATGGAAGAGCAAAAAATGTCCCAGCAAAAAGGACCCAGGCAGAAAATGAACCACCAAGTAATAGTGGATGTGAGAAAAGGGGAGCAGCATCCTGTGCCAGCAGCTGGGAGGGGAGAGCAAAGCCTGGCTGGGGGCCCCCATGCTGTGCTTGCTGGCTCTGCTCACTCAAAGGATCAATTGTGATCAATTCCCCCGTGACAGGGTGAGAGCCAGGACAGGGCAGGAGCAGGAGGTACCTGGTGAAGCAGGTATTTTCCAGCTGGCAGGGTTTGGAGCATTCCAGAAGTGCATTAAAGGAACAGCTGGAGCAGTAACCAAGCTCTTAGCAGTGGGAGAGGAGAGACCATGTCTGGCTTCAGAAGACGGGAAGAGGGCAAGTGCAAAATTTCCCTCCAGCAGCCAGAGAAACCAACGCTCACAGGCACCCAGGAGGCATCCCAGAGCTGAAACCCCCAGAAGGGATCAGCCATGACCAAGCCCATCTGCTCATGCTTGTGACAGATCCAGGGATAGGGAGAAGCAGTGGCACATCCTGGGTGTTGAACACGCTTTGGACAATGATGTGATGCATTTGAGGTGGGGCTTGTAAGGGGATCTAGAAAACGTGACAAGAAGTAGCTGATGAGCCATATTCCAGGAGCAGAGATTGATGGCTGGTGGGTTGTCAGTGGCCAGTGGTCAAAGGGATTGTCAGTGGCCAGTGGTCAAAGGGATGTGCTCCTTCCCATCAAAGGCTCTCTGTGCATGCTCCTCAGTGAAGAGCACAAAAGAATGCGAGGCTACCTGATCAACTAATGGATGACATCACAATGAAAATGTGTTGGAGGACCAGGCAAGAATTCAAATGAACTTGTCAAAGCTGAAGTGGAAGAAGGAGCTGAAACCAGCCTCCAGTTCAAGGACAGGGTGAGCCCTGGGCTCAGAGTGCTCGCTGTGGGTGTGCGGGCTGGGGAACCACGGCTTGGGAGCAGTTCTGCAAAAACCATCCCAGAGTTACACCAGCCCACAGGCTGCATGTGAGTCAACATCATCATCATCATCATGGCGTGAGGAAAGCAACTGCATCAGCTTGGGCTGGACAGAGAGGAAGAAGAAAGGAGAAGCAATCCTTCCCATCTGCTCTGGGCCATGGCCCCACGTACACTTTGGGGCATTCCATCTCCAAACCCTGCAAGGAAAGCAAGGAGGATCTTGGGCTGGTCAGTCTGGAAAACAGGAGATGCTTGAGGCTGGCCTTTGAGGCACAGAAAACAACAGCTGGATGAGCCTCTGTGCCCATGGCAGACACTGACCACTGCTGAGGCTGAATAGCAAGAAGCCCTTGGAGAAGGGAAGGTGCCAGAAGTTGTGTGACCTTGACAAGGAGCTGGATTTGATGGAAAAGAAATTTCTCCTGGGAATGTGTGCTGGGGCCAGGTGGGTTTCAAGGCCTGGGAGCTTTCACAAAGCCAGGCTCAATTTTCCCCCTTTTTTCCTTTCATAGTTTTCTAAGCTTTCAAGCAGGTTCATTCAGCTGGGAGGCCTGATCTCTCTGCTCTGCTTTGCCACACACTCTTGGGGAAAAGCCTCAGAGAGAGAGGTGTTTGTTTAGAAGAGGAAGAACACAGAAATGCTCAAAATCTAATGATCCATCACTGTCATGGTGTCCAAGACCCTGCAAAATTCAGCCCTGATCTGCCATGACAGGCTGTTGTCTTCCAGCAGAACAGGAAGCAGCACTGAGCTAATTAATTGCATGATAGGGAAAATTCTGAAGAAAGACTTTCACTTTCTGCTCATGCCCCCAGACTCATGTGTGGTTGATCCCCAGGGTCTCATTGGTCCCAGAGAGCTGTTCCCACAGGATCACTAAGGCTAGAAAAGACCTCCAAGACCATCAAGTTCAACCTTTGACCAGATGCCACCTCATCAACCAGACCACAGCACTAAGAGCCATCACACTGTGTCAATGAAACAGCCACCACATGTCACCGCTCCGGGACAGCAACAGCCACAAAACCACAAGCAGCTGCACCAAGGAGCATTTTCCCTTGCAGGTTGTCTCAGGTCACTGATTCAACCCATCTCCTGGTGACACAGAGAAGCCAAACCCCATGGTGAAAGCCAAACAGCTTGATCCCAAAACAGCCTGGTGTCAGCTGGAGCAGGCAGGGATCCTGTGGGGAGCATTCGTGCTGTTGGCATCTCAGCTCTGAAAACCAAAGCAACGATCCCTTGGGGACTGAGCCTCCTGCACTGCAGGGTGCAGGTGCAGAGGGGGTTCCTGTAGGGACCCACACCCTGCTCTCACCTTTAGGACAAAGGTGTTGTCTTTGTCAGGCATCTCCAGGGGCATGGTGGTGCGCACCTCGATGATGGCCGACAGCGGGATGCTCACCTTGGGTTTGGAAGCCTGAGAAAAGGAAAAAAAAAATAGCAAAGAAAATAAATGAAAAGAAATCAATGAATTAAAAAAAAAAAAAAGTCACTCAATTGAATCAAACTGTCCCTGGGGACAATGCAGCAGGGCTCTCAGAGGCAAGATCAGCTCAGCCTGTGTGGTTATTACAGAGGGGGAATAAACAGCATTGATTTCCCTCCTGTGCCTGATAACTCTGAGCTCTGTGAATTAAACCAAGAGGAGGCCCAGTGGAAGACAGGGAGGTGCTTTTAACTGCCAAACCACCCTCCATGCTCCAGCACAGGCTGATGTGCCAGCTCTGCCAACACCACTTAATTTCTCTCCATTTTCAATCCTCTCCCGATGGAGAGAGCTGTGCTATCTGATGGGGGATGCTTCCCATGCAGAAAGCAGCCCCGTTTCTCCAGCACAGGAGCAGCATTTCAACCAAGCAGCTACAACACAGCAGCCTCAGCCATGCAGGGAATTTTAATTACATTAAAATCAAGAAAAATGAATTTCCCCCAGGGCCCCTGGCACCCGCCGGAGCCTCGGTGGGGAGGCAAGACCCGGTGCCTCCCACTCCAAGTGTTTGCTGAGCAACAAATTCCCCAGATATTTGTTTTAATTATAACAAATCCCCACAAAGGAGCTCGTGGAGCTGCTCTCCAGGGCTGGTCCCCTCCAGGGCTCTGGGATTTGGAGCACTGCAGCTGCAGGAAGAAGAGAGGAGATTTAGTCACCAAAACCTGCGCCTGGTGCCGTGGATGCAGTGGGTGGGATGAGCAGCAAGGAGCTTAACAAATCCCCACAAAGGAGCTCGTGGAGCTGCTCTCCAGGGCTGGTCCCCTCCAGGGCTCTGGGATTTGGAGCACTGCAGCTGCAGGAAGCAGAGATGAGATTTAGTCACCAAAACCTGCGCCTGGTGCCGTGGATGCAGTGGATGGGATGAGGCCAGCAAGGAGCTCCAGGCTGCAAGTTACCAATAACGGGCTCAGTTCCCATTTTTATTGGGAAATAAAAATAAATAAATCCAAGACAGAACAGAAACTGCTTTTTTCCCTTGCAGGATGTTTTGTTTCTGCCAGCCCCAGAGCCCCAGTGCTGCCTGCAGACACGTCTCAGCCGTGCAAGGCTCTGCCCATCCCTGGGGAATTTTTCCATCTTGGTGTTTGCACAGGAGAAGGTCAGAAAGGAAGCAGCAGCTGCTTCGAAAGGAAAGGAGACAAGGTGATAATTCACCCATGAGCCAGAAAAGGGTCTTAGAATCACAGGATGATTTGGGTTGGAAGGGACCTTAAAGAAAGATCATCTCATTCCAAACCCCTCCTTTCCAGGAGGGTTCTTCCCTTTAAAGGTTTACAGACATGGCCATAGTTTTTGTAGGGTCTGTGTAAAAACAAAGCTGTGGGCTGCTGAAGCAAAAATCAGTTTTCTTCCAGCTGTGCCAGACTGGTGCCACTTTTACATTTGCCAGATGGAAAGCAAGATGGGATGAGAGGAGAAAGCTGTAAACCAAAGTGGGGTGTGATTATAACAGAAGAGCAGACAATGTTCATAAAAGTTGCCATAAAATAATTTCAAAATTGATTTTTAGAGGCAAATCAAGATACACTAAAAAAGGAATCCCTCTATGAGCTCTCTCTTAAATGTTTTAAGAGCAGCAGTTGTTCCATTTTAACCCAAGTTTATTTTCTCTTTGGTGCAGCTGATACACCAGGCTTCATCAGATTCTCCATCCACAGAATCACAGAATAGGTTGGGTTGGAAGGAATCCTTTTCCACCCCCTGCCATGGGCAAGGATACCTTCCACTAGCCCAGGTTGCTCCAGTCTGGCCTTGGGCACTTCCAGGGATGGGGCAGCCACAGCTTCTCTGAGCACCCTGTGCCAGGGCCTCAGCACCCTCACAGAGAAGAATTTCTCCCAGTGTCCCACCTATCCTTACTCTCTTTCAATTTATAGTCATTCCCCCCTGTCCTGTCACTCTCTCCAGCTCTTCCACGGACTCCCTAGTGGGCACCATGGACATTGGGGTTGTTTCCTTCCAGCCAGACCCCATTCCTGGGCTGGGGAAGCCCTCAGTCCAGCCCAGAGCAATGCCCACCATCTGTACCCATGCTGAGCTGCTCTCCAGAGAGATGCACTTGAGTTCAAACTCATGTTTTATATTTTCTCCAAAGGTGAAAGGCACAGACTGACACCAAGAGTGCAAGGTTCATTTTGGCCTGCAGGTTGGATGGGTTTCAAGCACATTTTCCCATCCATTTGCACCTCAGCCACACAGCACCAGATCTCCCTCTGGACCAGAGCTGGATTTCAGCCCAGCTCAGCAGTGGAAACAAAAAAATCCCCAAAAGCAAAGCCCAACTGCTGCTTGAATTTCTCATAAAAGCAACGGTGGACAAAAGCCAGGACTTACCTTTGGAGGGACATAAAACTCCAGGAGGAACCTCTCTCCTTCCACCTTCACCGCCTTGCGGAGCAGGAGGCGGCACTTCTGCCACTGCGAGCTCCCCACACAGTTCGTGTCATCGGCCACCATGTAGCGCAGCGTCCCCTCCCTCTGGATGTCCACCAGCTCCACCTTGGACGAGGGCACCTTGGACAGGCGCAGCTTGTGTGTCCATTTCTCCCGAGGGTCCCCAGGCTCCTTGCCCCCGGCCGCCCACGGCTCCCTCTCGGCTCTGCGGCCGCCCAGAGCAGCCTCGGCGCCCGGCTCCGGAGAGGATTTGCGGTGCCACATCTCCTTCATGCCATCCACCACGCACAGGCTCATGTTCCTCAGGGAGAAGCCTTTCTTGAACTTGGGCTTGGCAGCAGCGTGGATGGAGACGTCCTCCGAGCTGCGGGACTGCCCGTAGGAGGAGACCTTGTGAGCCTGCACCTGCTGGGCTGGGGTCAGGTACCGGCTGGCGCCCAGCGGGGCGTCCATGCTGTCCAGAGACTCCGTGGACGTCTCCTCCTTCCTGGGGGTGACCTCCCGCCCGTAGGGCACGTGGCAGTTCTGCAGCCCCACGAAGGGCACGATGTTGTACTTGGTGGGCGAGTCAGACACGAACACCCGGCTGACCTCCAGGCTGAAGATGTCCAGGAAGTTGGCGGTGAAATGGTGGGAGAAGGAGGTCTCTGCCCCGGGGGTGTCGTAGTGGGGGTTCTCCTTCAGGAACTGGCAGAACTTCTGGGCGAAGTCCACGGCGGCTGCCTGGGCGTGCAGCTTGCAGAACTCCCTCCAGTCGGGGAGCGGGGAGGAGGGCTCCTGGCACAGGGCATCGCCGTTCATGGCTGCCCCATTCCACCTGCCGGCGGGCTGCGGGCAAGGACACGGCCTGAGAGTGGCACAGACAGGGACAACCCAGCCTGTCCCCCAAAAACAGGGACATGGGCAACCCAGCCTGTCCCCCAAAAACAGGGACATGGGCAACCCAGCCTGTCCCCCAAAAACAGGGACACGGACAGCCCATCCTGTCTCCCCACAAATGGGGACATGGACAACCCACCCTGCACCCCCAAAGGGGGTACGGACATGGACAACAACCCTGACCCCCAAAATGGGTTCACCCCTTGCCATAATGCCAGAGCTGATCTGCAGTTCCAGTGCAAAGGAAAATGCTGTGGGAAAGTGTCTGTGTGTCGCTCTCTCTCCACCTCAACCACTAGGAAAAAATCTTGGCCCTGGCAGCAGCCATAAATTGTACTTATTTTACGATTATGACCATGCAAAAGCATTATTGATTTCTCATGAAACCGCTAAGGAGTCCCCGAGTGGAGGAGCTCAGGGGCATTTTCCTGCAGGATTCCTCTCACTCTGTGTCTGCCTGGGCATGGCACAGCTCTCCATAGAGGGATGGAGCACTGGGAGTCCTGAAGTATCCACCCAGGGTAGCACCCTCCCCTCTGCACCCCACAGCCAGTCCTTCTCTTGCTCTCCAGTCTCTATTTCTGCTCTCATCCTTTGCCACATCAATTTTGGGATTTTGCCCTCCCTGCTGAGCATCAGCTGACAGAGAGCCCAGGACAGGTCCTCAGCAGAGGCCCATGAGTAGGTGGGCTGCAGGGGAAAAGGAACAGAAGCCAGGCCCAGGAGCACACCAGAAGTTGATGGGAGCTGCAGACCAGACCTGTGAGCCCTTAGGACAAGCACCACTGTGCCCAAGCTCCACACTGGTCCTCCTCCCAGTGGCTGTGAGACTGGCAGGGCCCATGTACAGTCCAGCTTGGCTCTAATCATGTTGCACTTCCCAAATCTCTACCTGACTCTGGGCAGCATGAACAGCCTCCCCTGGGTGACCCCAGCAGTGACTGTATCTCAAAAATCACCTCTCAGTGCCAGAACTGCTCATGGCTGCTGGTGCTGGTGGGCCTTGGCTGGGGCTCCGCTGAACCCATGTCCCTGTGTCCAGACACCTTCCTTCCTCCACTCCAAGGGCAGCAGTTTGGCAAATCCACCTCAGCTGCTCAAACACAGAGCCCAAGGGTGCCTGTGGCTTCCCCGCTCCAGGCAGGGATTGTGCCTGTGGGATCCAGTTCTGGAAGGGCAGGACAGCTCCCCCGGGTTTTGCTGCTCTCCATTCACACAGCAGCTCTTTCCCTGGATTTTGCTGCTCTCCATTCACACAGCGGCTCTTTCCCTGGATTTTGCTGCTCTCCATTCACAGAGCAGCTCTTTTGCTGGTGAGGGATTACTCCTGCTAATAAATCACGCGCCGTATCCCGCCAGCAGCTTACATGGCCAGTAATTAATTACTGCTCAGCTGAACGGCACCAGCCACGGGATCGGGGCGGGCACTGGGGACTGGCATAACCCACTCCTTATCCTCCAGACCCCAGCCATGTCAGTCCCCAGACCCCAGGCAGGGCTGAGCCCTGAAGGCTGGGATTCAGAGCAGCAGCTGTGGCTGGGAGCTGGCTGCCATACCCCCAGCACATCCCTATGGATAGGAGTTCTCTGGGAGCACCTCCATCCCAGGAAGGGGCTCTCAACCCCCCCAAACACTGAGAAACCCACACAGCCAACAAAATCCCACCAGAAACATGATACATGTGGCATTTCTCACCTTTAAGGCAAGGATGCTGCTCAGTGCCCTGGCTGTGCCAAGGAGGCACTGAGGACAGGCTACACATGGGCCTGCACTGGCTCCTCACATCCCACAACAGCAGCAGAGCTCCAGCTCCCGCAGAAATCCCTGGCAAAGCTCTCCCCAGCATCACAGGGATTTCCCAGAGACCTGAGCAGGGAGCCATGCCAGCTGGGAAAAAACCCATCCCTGCAGTTTAGGAGCAGCCTCTGAATTTCCCCAAGAGACATCAGCAAAGCAGCAGAAAATGCAAAGCTGTTTGTTACCCGCCCAGCAAATGAAATTCCTAATTATCCATCCATCACCAAGCAGAGGATTTAAAGACTCTGCCCTTTGAATTGAAAATTCACAACCCCAGCTCTGCCATGGGCCAGGAGCTGCCCTGGCACCAAGCCATGGGCCAGGAGCATTTGGGCTCAGGGAGAAAAGGGCGATGAAAAGGAGTCTCCTGCTGCCAATCCAAGCAGTGACAGCCAGAGCAAGGGAGAGGGAAAGGGTGCAAAGGGAAAAGAGCAGGAAGGGGCTTCTGGGGGAAAGAGAAAGACCCTTGGTGATGGGGTTATTTGCATCTGCCCAGTGTGTTCAGCCCCAGGGCTCTGCTGGTTTCCCTCCCATGAATTTGGGGGAAAACACAGCTCCCCATCCCTCTCTCCAGCAGGGACTGGTGCTCAGGGCCTGCCTGTTTGAAACCAAGGGATGGCAAGCTAACAGACTCTGAGAGGTTAAGGGGGGAAAAACAAGAAGAAGAAAAAAAAGGCACTTCAAAAAAGATAAAGCCCCAAACAAAAAGCCTCAAGGAGATCCAGGCATGGCAGCCGGGCTCAGGCTCGGAGAGGCGCACGCAGAGGCATCACAGCATCTTCCTTTCATCTGCATGGGGATGACAGACTTTAAAAGGCCAATTTATAAAAATGAAGCCTAGAGGAGAGACATCTGGCAGGTCTGAGGAGGCGGCGGCGGGGATTACTAACCCTGTGCCACATATCCAACCCCCCTGCCCAGAGCACAGCCAGCAGCCCCCAGCCAGGATCCAACAGCACAGGCTGGAGTCATGGGGTGGTTTAAGGGCAGCCCCTGGGACTGCAGAGCCATCCCCGCCCCTGATTCACCTGATTTCTGCAGGAAGCAGGCTCCCAATTATCTGTGTAGATTTACCTTTAATCTGGATGCCTGCACTCCCCTCCATGCCAACAGCTCTGCCCCACTTCTTGAAATAACTTATCATGCCACAGACAGCATCCCCGGGCAGAGCGGTGGAAGCGGAGACGAAAATAAGCTCACGATGAAAATAAGCAGCAAATCTGCAATTGCTTTTTGGAAAGGGCCATCCCCTGCCAGCCCAGCTTCCTGAGGCTGCAGCACACTCCAGGCACCTTTCTAAAGAGCCAGATCCCTTTGGAAGTGCCATCAGCCCACTCCAGAAGTGGCTCAGGACAGCCTTGAGTCCTTGGCCTGGATGACACAAGAGGACAGAAAAATAAATACATAAAGTGGGGTAGTTTGTTGTCATGAAGAAGCCACAGAGTGGCAACCACAGCATCAGGCTGGTGACAGGCTCCTAACCCACCTGCAAACTCCTCCCAGGGCAGAGCTGTGCCTGCTGCCTCTGTCATTTGGGAAACTGAGGCAAAACTTGAGAAGAAAAGATAAAAATAAAGAACTTCTGGTGTTTGCCAAATGGAAACCCAGGCTGGGATGACAGGTGAGAGCCAGCTGCTGGCAGTGATTTGGGACACCTCTCCCACCAAGGTGTGCTGAGGCATCCCCTGCTCCGGGGGGTGGCACATAGAATCCTCTGAAAGCCTAAGTACAGCTACTGACCTCAAGAAGAAATGAAATTTAAACTGTCAGCAGAAGCGCAGGAGACCATAAAAAAACAACTCCCCAATGAAGCAGGAGTCAGGGAGCAACAACAAAGCCACTGGGATTTGCTGAACCAGAGGCGTGGGGAGGACCCAGCATCTAATGAGGTGTTAATAACCCGAATGCGCAACACCGGTCATGGGATGGCCAGCACAGCCTGCCCAGCACGGCTGGCTCTGATGGCTTTATTTAAGGAAACAACCCTAATAAAGAGATGTTTCCCTTCCACCCAGCGCAGCGCAGCCAGGCTGGGACAAAGTGATCCGAAACTGAGCGGGGAAAAGCACTGTCTGCTGGAGGATGTGAGCAGCGAGCTGCATCCCTCCATCCATCCCTGCATCCCTCCATCCATCCCTCCACCTGCAGCTGTGCTGGAAACTGCCAGCTCCACGCCAGAGAGCAACGGGAAAGGAAAAGGCAGCGCAGGAGGCAAAGCCTGGCTCCTGGGCAAGGAGATCCCAGCCCAGCCCCGGCTGTCCCAGTCCTGCAAGGCTGCTCGGTTTCCAGCAAGATCGATGCCACTCAAAGCTCCAGCTGGTCACCGCGATCCCGAGGGAATGACATGAGGAAACCCAGGCACCTGCTCTCCCAGAAAAGCGCCTGACCTAAGCGTGCCATGCCAGAGGAGATCCCCGAGTCACGAGCAGGTCGCAGAGCAAGGCGATACCCCCCGGCCCCCCCGGCGATGCTCCTGGCAGGCAGCTCCTGACACACGGGCAGCTCCCGGGGGAGCCCGCAGCCTGCCCGCACAAAGCCCAGGCACTGCCTGCCCTGGGCTCACGGCACAACGAGGTGCATTTCTTGCCCCTTTTCTCTTTTGAAGATGTGTCCCATCAGCACCTCCACCCCAAAACCTTGTCTGGGGAAGGGGAGAGCGGGGCAGAGCGAGCAGGCTCACACTGATCATCATCCCTGCTCCTGCTGTGCAAGCATGAGGGATGCTAGGAGCTGATCTCCCCCATTCCACAGCGGAGACCTGAAGCCTGACCTCCTCCCTCTGTCACCTCGAGGACCCTTCCCAGCCCTCCAGAGCTTTAATGGCATGCAGAGGCTGAGCTGAGGAACAGAAAACCATAGGGGACAAAAGCAGAAGCCACCTTTTGCTTTCACACCCCCCAGACCCCTGACCACAGCCCTGGCGTGGGAGAAGCTGATTGCTCTCCATGCTCCTCAGTACTCCATGTACTATTTATACTATTGTGATCTTAAATCAGACTGCCTGTCTGAACCAGATAGAAATGGAAACATTCCTTGTTCCTCTCATTTACTGGCCATCCCACTAAAATATTAATTGAACAGCATTTTGGCCTTAAATTTTATAGTCAAACCACCTGCCTTGAACCAATCCCTCAGCAGGAGCATGCTTTAACTCCCTGCCCAGATGGACTTCAGGGTCCACCTGTCACCTGCAGCTTACAAAACATTTTTCTGGAATGAAAAGGCTCCTTGTGCCTTTTTCTGCTGCCCAGTGAGGGTCCCACTGGCCAGCCCAGCTCCCAAAAAGGATGCCCCAAAGCACTCAATAGTGCTGAGTGGTAAGGACAAGGTTTTGGGGTGCAGGTGCTGATGGGACTCATCTTGAAAAGAGAAAATGGGCAAGAAATGAACCTTTCCTCCTCTTGCACATAAGGGTGTCCCCACAGCTCTGTGTGATATTCTGATTCCAACCCCACAGGAACCAATGCTCCTGAAAATGAGCAGATGGGCCCATGAGAGCTCCCAGTAAAACCTGAGATTTTCTCATTTTCCACTACTCTGGCCATACCACAGGCTGTTCCTCTCCCTCCCCTCCAAAATCCCCCGCAGTGGATGTTGTACTTCCTGTGCTGACAGCTGCTGGAAAATAAAGACAACTTCATAGATAAGATCCACTGGATCTTAGATAATCTTTTCTCTGAGTAATTCCATCCAGCTTGTAGGGAGCCACTCTGCCAGCCCACACATGGACATCACCCAAGCCACTCAACCCACTGGTGTTGTGGGAGCTGGAGGACACCTCAGCCATGGGGACAGGGTCCCCAGGGTGCAGTGACAATGATCAGCCAAGCTTTGGTGCATCTGGGCATCATGAATGCAGCTTGGGGCTTGGAGGCTGTGTGTTGTGTCTGGGAATAAAGCAGAGACACAATGCCCCAAAGGAAGAGCTATTGGAAAAATCAAATAAATTAAACCCCAGAGCTTTAGGTGAAGCAGGTGAGATGATGTTGTCCATTCCCCCTCACTCGGATGCCACCTCATGTGCCTGTCTCCAGCCAGAGAGCTTCCCACAGAAAACTGCCCAGTCCAAAGTCTATTTTTAACCACCACAATAGCAGAGCCTCCCCTGAGGAGCAGCAGAAGCCCTGTCCCCAACCAAGCAATCTCACATTTCCCTCGCTAAGCCTCGATTTCCTTCCGCCCCTCAGCCCACAGCAAAACCCTTCTCCTCCTCCTCTTGCCTTCCCATCCTTGGAAAACTATTTGCACATCCGTCCATCCATCCATCCCCCTCCGGGCTGGCGTGCTGTGGGTGCAGTGTCCTGCACACCTGTTACACATTAACCACTGACCTGGTACCTGTGGGCAGACCCTTCCTGCACTCAGAAATGCCAAACAGCAGCGGATCCACCTGCTCAGCCCCCTCCCCTGGATGCACCCCAAACTCTGGGGATTTAAAGAAAAAGCCCTGCAACATTAACCCAGCTGTACTACACAAAGCAAGTGCAAACTCTTTAGAAGAATTTACTCTTGCCCTGGGGATTGCTGTGCCATGGAGGAGCTCTTTGGGGGTTTTTGGGGAGAGAGCTGAGTGGATGCTCAACAAAGCAAATCCTGATGGATACAGCACAGTCATCACTGGGGATCCCCCATCATTAGGTCAGAGAAACCCCTAAGATTGTTTTTCAATTACAGCACATAATAAACATGAGATAAAGTTACACAGTTCTGTAGGAAATTTTCTTATTATGTTTTTTTTACGTTGCAGATCTAATTCCCCACACGCATCACTGTCTCATACCCGCCTGCAAACAGCCTTAAACTGCTGCCTAATGGTATCTGAGCTGGGGAAATTCAATTCTACCCAGCGCCTCACCCAGGACTGCTACAATCACTGCTAATTGCTTAAGTGGTGTATTAAGCAAAATAAAAATTCCAGTGGGCTTTGAACCCCCCCCCAACCAGATGATGCCAAAACACCCTGTTACAGCTGCCAACCCTGGCTGGAGATCCAACCTCAAGTATCTTTTTTCTCTTCACTGTGCAGGGATGCTCCTGGGCGGGCAGAGCTTCGTACCCAGCATGGCCATAACCACACCAGAGGGATCCGCAGGCTGTGTCCAGCTTTGCCATCCCTCTTGCCAGGGTTCTGGGTGCCATTGCAGCCCCTCTCCTGCCCCAGGGTGCAAATGCTGCCAGGACCCAGGGAAGCAGGGCACAAACATCTTCCCAGTGGGACCCTGGGGTGGTGCACACTGGGTCCCTCTCCTGTCCCCCACCTGTGGGTGTGGATGGATTTGGATGGATGTGGGGCTCCTGTCAAGTCTCATCCCAAACCCAGACCTTGCATGAGAGCAAGCAGATTCTCCAAGCCCTTCTGGTTTTCCCTTTAGCAAAAATCAGGTGTGGGATGCAGTGTTAGGCATGTTCTCTCCTCCTCTCCACCGTGATGGAGCCAGCTGAGATTGAGTTTCTGGGAGCACACCTGGGGGCAGGGCCCCCATGCTCCCTCTGCCTGCACAAGGACGTGGATCACTGAGCCAGGGACAAGTCTCCAACCCGATCCCAGCACCTCACTGGCATCCACGGGCAGGGAAAGCAGCTGAGGTCAAGTGAGGGCAGCCACAGGCAGGAGGGGAATGATGCAGGAACCTCGGGGCTGGAGGCAGTGCTCTGGGGCATCCCAGCCAGCCTGAGTCAGCAGGGCCAGCAGATGTGCAACCATCATCTGGTGTCTCTGCTTCTGCTGGGAAGAGGAGGAAGAGGAAAGGCACCAGCCAGCAACATCCTCATCTTGACGAGACGGGTGTTCTGCCTCCATGGAGGAAGGACAAGAGGAGGCTGGACAAGACCACGCTGCCATGAGGGTGCTCACAGTCCAGGAGAAGAGGGGACAGACCTCAGATCAGCCAGAAGAGGTGGCCCTGCAGTCAAGCAGCCACTGCAGCCCTGAACCAGCTGAGGAATGAGGGGATTTTAACCCCAAAGCCTTCACCAGACAGGGATGGGGACCAGGGCTGACACATCCCCCTGGTGACACAGGGGTCTGGTCACTGAGCTGGGTGAGACACCAGGCAGGGCTGGCAAACCTGTGTGCTCCCCAGGCTGGAGCAGAGAGGATTATGCAGCTTTTTAAAGGAAACACTCAGTGGTAGCCCTGGGCTCCTCTCCTGTGTTACAGTGATGGTGAGACACTGGGAAATACCACTGAAGGACACACAGGGAAGGTCCAAGGGCACTTGCCATCCCATCTGAGCAGATCTCCTAGAGCACACACCCACCTGTCTGTACAAATGTGCCCTCCCCCCCCAGGGAAGGGGGGCTGAGCATTTCAGAACAGCCTGTGTGGTTCAGGTGGATGATTCCTACTTAGAAAGGCATCCCCAGAAATCCATGGTCCTTCTCCACTCTCCCAACAACCAAACCAAAAATCCTCAAGGAAGGCAGTTCTGAGTAACCATAGAATCATTTAGTTTGGAAAAGACATGTAAAATCATCCAGTCCAACCATTTCCCCAGCACTGCCCATGTCCCCTAGTGCCACATCCACACCTCTGTTAAATCCTCCACGGATGGTGACTCCACCACTGCCCTGGGCAGCCTGACAACCCTTTCAGCAAAGAGATTTTTCCTAATATCCAGCGAAACCTCCCCTGGCATAACTTGAGGCCATTTCCTCTTGTCTAGTCAGCTGTACCTGGCTACACCTTCCCTTCAGGCAGTTGTAGAATCGAGAAGATCCCCCCTGAGCCTCCCTTCCTCCAGGCTGAGCTGCCCCAGCTGCTCCCCATCCACTCAAGGCCACAGCAGCAGGGCCCGCGGGGGGTTTTGAGGGCACAGGGTTATTTTACCTCCTTTCCCGTTCCAGTTCACAAGATCCCCGAAGCACCGGTAGCGTGGCTCTTGCAGGTCAAATGCATAACTTCAACCGATCAATTTCCACACTGGAAGGAAGTACCAGACCGGCTTGGAGGGAGGGACCTGGAAGGCAAAGGTTTAGGCTGTCAATCCCTGGAGCCAGAGCAATAAACCCAGGCACATCTCACCTCCCCCAAGGCACAGTCCAGCCGGGCTCGGGCCTGACTTCACCAAAAGCAGAAACAAGCAGCAGGGCCGGGCAGAAAGTCCCCCAAGCGTCCCAGGGGCCTTCCCGCGGCGCTGCCCGGGCTCGGCAGCCGCAGCTGCCCCGGGCCCCGCGAGGCACCGGCGCTGCTGAGCCTGGGGGCCTGCGACCCCTCCGGGGCACCCGCACCCCTCATGCAAAGCCAGGCACACAATACTGACTGAAATAAGGGACCACCCGTGCGGGGGGCTGCGTGTTGCCTGTGCCCCCCCTCCGGCGCTGCCATCCCCAAACCCCGGGGGAAACCAACCCATGGCTGCAGCCCCCCAGCCCCGGGGCAAAACCCCGTCCCCCGGGGCAGCCCCCATTCCCGGAGCAGCCCCCATCCTCGGAGCAGCCCCAGGCAAGGCTGCAGCCCCTCTCCCCCGGGGCAGAGCCGGCTGTACCCCATCACCGCCCCCCGCCCCCGCGGGGCCCGGGGCCGGCCCGAGCGGCGGCGATGCTCACCGGGAAGGGGGGCTGGCCCAGCCGGGAAGGGGGGCGGCAGGCGGCGGCAGCCCCGGCCCCGCCGTGCGAGGGGAGGGGGCGGCTCGGGGACCTCCCGAATGCACCGCGCCGCAGCGGCGGGGGGCGGGACCCTCCCCCGGCCGGGGGATCCGCGGCTGAGCGGGGGGAAGAACCGCGGATAAATACCCGCCCGCCGGTGCGGTGATGGTACCGGTGCCGGTACCGGAGATGCGCTCACCCGGCCCCGCTCGCTGCTGGGTTCGCCGCTCGGCTCGGCTCGGCTCCGGCCGGCCCGGCCGCCCCCCGCCCCGCCGGCAGCGCCGCCCCCCGCACCGCCCCCGCCGCCTTAAAGGGCCCCGCCCGGCCCCGCCGCCCCCGCCCGGCGCTCCGCGAAGGAGAACCGGGACACACCGAGCCGTCCCCGCCCAGCACGGGCTGGCCTGGGGCCGTGTCTGCGGGAGCGCCCCAAATTACAGGGGGCACCCCGAATCCTCCCCAAATCCTCAGGAAGAGCCCTTAATCCTCGGACGGGCTCCCCGACCCTCCTGGGAGCGCTGCAAATCCTCGAGCAGCACCCTAAATTTTCAAGGTGCCAAGTGTTCAGGTCCCCGAGATGCTCCAGATGCGCAGGTCCTGGCAGGGCTCCCCCGTGCTCTGCAGAGGGGCTGCAGCCTTTCCTCACCCCGTCTATCACCCAGCATTTGTCCTTGCGGTGCCCAGGAGAGGGGATTGGGGTGATCCCCCCCACACCCACATTCCCAGAGGGCACAAGGCAGGAGGTGTGACTGGAGTGGCTCCAGGAGGAGTTTTTGGCGTCTGGACCCAGCGCCCACCTTTGTCATCCTGCTGATGCATTTTGGGCACATCTCAGAGCACTTTCCCTGTCAGGGGATTCAGGACAGATTGAACCCCAGAACAGGGTGGGTCAGGATGGAACAAGCCCCAGGACAGGGGCACTGAAGCCCAGAGAGGTTTAAGGGATGGAGATGGAGGTCACACTGCCTCTGGGACCCTGCACAGCTCCCCAGCCTCCCCATGGTGTGTCCATGCATGGATAGGGATGAGTCACCATTAAAAAAAAAAAAAAAAAAAAAAAAAAAAAGGATTTGCAGGAGGAACAAATCCTTTTTACTTCTGTGAAGCACCTGTAGGATTAAGACAATGCTAGTTATATAAGAGGTGGAGAAGGGTGGATTTTAGCATTTTTGTTATTATTAATATTTATTTGTTATTCTTCCTTGCCATCCCATTACCCTGGCGGTGTATTCTGAGGAGATTTGGGGGAGAAGAAGGAGATTTGTTGCAGGGCTGGTGCAGAGTGATGCACCATTTGCTTTTTCTTCCCCCAAAGCAACAGGGGCCAAAGTGAACAGTGCAAAAGCACTGCTGAGGAGGCACAGCTGGGACAGGGACTCTTGATTTTCTCCATTATGGCTGGTTTGTGATGATTTTGGGTGGATTCTGTCCCTCCTGCTTCTGGCAGGTCACATTTTCAAGGCGAGGTTGGGCAGGACTTGGAGCAACCAGGTTTGGCAAAAGGTGTCCCTGCTCAAGGCAGAGGCTGGAATGAGAAGAGCTTTAAGTTTCTTTCCAACCCAAACCATTAAATGCTTCTGACATTCTCTGATTCCCTTCCCAGGGGCATTCTGGGGGGGAATGGATGCTGACAGAGAGGCTGGATCCCACTGCTGAGTGCAGGTAGCCCTGGGCCGCCCACCTTCACCCACCTCCCAGAGCAGCTGACAACGTGTTTCCACTCCCCCTCCCTTCCCCTGCCTCCTCCCCTGAACAGCCTCTCTCCCATTCATATCCATTTTTAAAGAAAACACACAATCAATAGTCTCTCAGGCTGGAATTTCATTAAGGTTTTCATTGCACTCGCTATCGATTGGCAGCAGGGCAGGGAGCTGCACGGAGCTGATGCTGTGCCCTGCCTGCTCTGGGACCCCCCAGACCATCCAAAAGGGAAAGGGCCATGCAGAGGGTGGGGCTGCTCCCATGCAGGCAGCAGAAAGCCCAGCATCCCAGCTTTTACTAGATTTTACACACCACCACTAAGAGCAAAGCCAGGAGCCCAGGGAAGGGCTGGGATGCTGGGATTTCTTTCATGAACCAAAACAAATGCTTTGTGATTGCAAAGGCTTTGCTACACAACAGGCTCTCCTCCATGGGATGCTGCTTGTTTCAGGATGTGTAAAGCCAGGCTGGAATGCCTGGCCTTGCTTCCATCAAACACGGGGGCTGCAAGTAAAGAACACCCAGAGCTCTGAGTGTGGAAGGGCACGGCTTGCTCTGCTGCTGGTCAGTCACTTGGAAAATCAAGTGAAAAATCCCAACCTCTAAAAGGGCTCCGTGGGCTAATTTTAGGTCTGGGCCTTGACCAGAGAGATTTACAATAATTGCCAGGGTGAAAGTTTAACTTCTCCCGCAACTTTTCTCAGCAATCCCCAAGGAACCGCGTTCTGCTGTGCAAGGAGCATCCCTGGGCCAGCTCCCCAAATTGCCTTTTTAAGGCTTTATTTTTAAACCAAAGCCACAGACTGCCTTCAACGCGACAAAAATCCTTCACGAGTCCCAGCCTGCAGCTGGTGGCAGCTCCTGTGGATGGGGATGAGCTTTGGCTCAAATCCTTCTCCCCATGTTTTGGCCGTGCTCACCCCTGTGCCACCCCCTCAGGCACAGAGCAGAGCCCCCATGGACACCCCTGTTCCCCCTCACCCCTAAACCCTTTTAACAGGACCCACGAGAGGAGCAAAGCCAAGTTCTGCTTGTAGAACCACGGCCTTTCTGCTATGCTAAATGATTTAAAACTGGTGGTGAATAAACCTGAATATCTGCCCGCTCCTGCCAATTCTCATTACTCCGGGACTCCCTCGGAGCGATTAGCTGCCTTAAAAAAAAAAAAGAAAAAAAAATAAAATCGCTGGAAGGAATCAAGCGAGTGGCTCAGCCAGCGCTGGGGAGGGCTGCTGGCAGCATCCCGGCTGGAGCGTGACGTGCCCTTGAAATCCTGTGCCCGGAGGCATCCGAGCGCTGCCAGCTCCGGCAGCTCCATCCTCGCCGCGTCCCGGGGCGGCTGGGGAGATCCGGGCAGCGGGGAGCGAGCTGCTGCTGATTGTCCAGCAAAACCCTCGTCTGGGAGGCCACAAAGAGGTGGAGTGGGGAGGTGAAGGGGTTTGTGAGCATCCCGGGAAAAGCCTGGGAGGGGAGTGCCAGCCCAGCCATGGAGCCATTCCGTGCCCAGGCACGGCAAAGCCGGGTGTGTGTGAGAGCTGTCAGCCAGGCAGACAGGCCCCAGGCATCTCCCGGGCTGTCACAGCTGCAAATTGTCCAGGAGCAGTCCCTAATGGGATGTAAGGGGAGGATTTATTGGAGGGATGTCACAGGGATGAAAGGGGGAAAGAGAGGAAACCTGGAGAAATAGCGGTTTGGGTTTGTATTTATTTGTGGAGGAGAAATTGTTTTTAAATGTCCTTTGGTGTGTTGGAGAAGGCAAACAGGCAGTGACAGCCCAGCCACGGGGCTGGAGGAGCCTTCACTAAAGGGAAGACCTTGATGTGCAAATTCCCTGCTCCTCCTCACCCTGCATCTCAGGATTTACCTTTGAGAGGGAGCAAAGCCCTTTCCTTTCAACACAAAAACTGTGTTTAATATTTCCTCTGTGACCTGAGCTTTTTCTTCCCTAGCATGTTTGTGCAGCCCTGGCTGAGTTGTGCTCTCCCAGGATGACCTCAGAGATGGACAAGCACAGCACAGACCAGAACAAAGCCAGACCAGCTGAAATTCCCTGGGGGAGGATGTACAAACAGAAGAGGATACAAAACCAGGACCAAAACCCATCCTCATCTTTCTGTGGGACAACCAGTGCAGTTTGGATGGAGATGGAGAGCACCAGCTGAGGCAGGAGCCGTGCTGGCTCAGCTCACCCCACATCCTTTCTGTGTGCACACAGCCTGTCCCTCACCAACGACGGCTCTTCTGTGCTTCAAACCTCTGCCCAGGATTGTGTTCAGCGACCTCTCAGTGTCTGACTCAGATGGGAGGGAGAAATATTTGGGGTTGATGAGTGGGGAGGGAGTGCCATCTCACTGTCAGGTGGAAAAAGGATTCAGGGCTTGATCCTTCTGCATCCCTGATGGTGCTGGGAGAATCAGGAGCAAAAAGGGGGTTTTCAGCTCTGTATCAGCAGACACAATTTAACATTTTCCAGCTTACAGTGGTTTGTTCTGCCTGATTTTGGTGCCTCCAAGAAGGACAAGTCTCTCCTGCTGCATGCTGCTGGGATGGAGTTCACTGGGCCCCTCGGAATGCCAGGGATCTGCACAGCAGGATGTGTTTGTGCTCTCTCTGTGTCTCCTGGGAGCATGTCTGAAGGGAGATGGGTGCATCCCAACTTTCTCAACTGACCCTGCGTTGTCCTGTAATTCTATTTTATTTATGTTTTTTTCCTGCTACAAAGTCACAGAAAAAGCTGAGTTGGGAGGGACCCACAAGGACCATCGAGTCCAACTCCTGCCCTTGCACAGGGACCATCCCCAAGAGTCCCCTCCCTGTGCCTGGGAGAGGATTGTCCAAGCAGCACCACCCCTGAGGACACCTCCTTCCCTCCCTCCCTCGGGGGAAGCCGCCGGAGTCTGGCTCTGCTGCTGCTGCTGCTCTTTTTGGTGCTGCTGCTGCAAAGGAAGGCGCTGCTGTGGCTGTGCTCCAGCCCCCTCGGCACCTGCTGGCAGAGCTGCGGAGCCGCCGAGCGTGCAGTGCTGAGAGCAGGGGCAGAGCCCCGTGTCGGGGCAGGCACCCCCACACCATTCCTTGTGCTGGGGGGATGCGAACTGGGGCTGCAGAACTGAAACTTTAGCAAAAAAAAACCCCCAAACCGCAGCGTGTTTGCTCCTGCCTCCTCTCACCCCAGGGCTCTGCTCCCCAGGGCTGTGCTGGGGTGAGCAGGTCTGTGTCTGTCCCAGGGGAACGGGCACCTTCTGCACCTTCTCTTCCCAACCACCTCCTGTTTCTGGCGGCAGAGGTCACAGGTTATCAGCTGCTTGGGGGTTGTCTCTTAAACATCCCTTTTCTTTGTGCTGCTCTGCTCTGCTGGGGCTGTGCCTGAGAAATGGTGTCAGAGGCTTTGTTCTGCCTGCACAGAGACCACGGAGGAAAAGGCTTCAAAACGCTCCCCACAGCCCTCCGTGGCTGTGCTGCCCTGGCCAGGGGGGGTTTCCAGGGGCATCACCCTTCAGACACCTCCTGCAGCTGCCGTTTGTTGCCCCTGCCTGGGGACAGCCTGGCACTGCTGCTCCTGTCC